TACCCGGGCGCGTAGCGCCTCGGCCTGGCGCAGGTCCTTGCGGAGGGCGAAGATGGCGCCGGCCTGCTCCTGGTGCTCCCGCAGCGCCTGCCGCCAGTCCTCCTCCAGCACCTGGATGTAGGGGCTGCTCTTGTCCGGCTTCCCCTCCTGTGGGTGGCGCAGGGCACAGGGCGGCAGGGCAGCGGCGGCGCGGGGGGAGGCGCCCACCCCGCCGGCCCCTGCGGCGCCCGCCCCGCCCGCCCCCACCTGGGCGGAGGCCTCCAGCTCCTGCACCCGGGCCTGCAGCTCCGCCTTCTCCTGCTGCAGCTCCCACAGCAGCTCCTGGCTCGGCCGCTGCTCCATGGCGTGCCGCAGCTTCAGCGTGTGCTTGCGTTCCACCTTGCAGTCGTCCTCCGCCTTCATCAGGCTGTGCTTGAGCCGGTCCACCTGCCGGCCAGGCCGCAGCGTCAGCCCCGCCCGCCGCCCCCCTCGACGGGCCCACAAACGATGCCCACCCCCAGCCCTGCCCGTCCTGTGCCGCCGCCCGGACACCCGTGGGGACCAGAGGGCACTTCCAGCTGCAGGCCCTGCCGGCCCTGCCCCTCAACGGGGCCCGCCACCGTCCCTGCCCGCCCCGCCCGCAGCCCGCTGCCCGCTGCCCAGACGCCCGCGGGGCCGAGGGCACCTCCAGCTGCAGGTCGCGGTTGCGCATGAGCGCGGCGCCCTTCTCCTCGCTCTGGCGCGCCAGGCGCATGGCCAGGTCGTAGTTCTCGTCCTTGCAGCGCTTGAGCTCGCGGCCGCAGGCCTCACACTCCTCCTTGAGCCGCTGCACGCGCTCCTGGTGCTTGCGGAGCAGGCTGTCCTTGACGCGCAGCTCCTTGATGAAGTCGTCCTTGGAGCTCAGCAGGGCCGTCAGGTCCTGCACCTTCTTCTGCAGCTTCATCACCTCGCTCATGAGCAGCTGCGTCAGCCCCGACTCCCCGGACGCGTCTGCAGGCCGGGCCGCGGTCAGAGGTCCCGTCCCCGTCGCCCGGCTCCATCACCCGGCCCTGGGCTTGCCCTGCAGCTCCCGGCTCGGCTCAGGGCCGGTTCCGTGGCTGCGGCTCCCCGTGGAGGAAATGGACTGCGGTTCTGACTCCGCACCCTCCCCCCAGGGCGGGGTGCAGCCAGGGCACCGGGCTCCCTCCCCTTTCTCTAATTTTGTTGTGATCTGGATCCTGAGGTGAGGGGACTCGGATCCAGGGCCCGGGACCCACAGGCCCCTGACCTGTCAGGGGTCAGGTGGTCTTCGGGCAGGACAGGCTCGGGGCCGCAAGCCGGCCTGGGCACCCTCACCTCCCACCTGCCCCCCACTCCAGAGGAGCGGACGGGAGCCAGGCCCAGACCTGCCCCCACGTGGACCCTTCCCCGGCGTCTCACCCCGTTTTATCCACTGGGAGACCCCACAGGGAGGGGCCAGCAGCCCTGCCCCCAGGCCCCTGGGTCCCGGCCCTGTGCCCCAGGCCCTCACCGATGATCATGGAGAAGACACGGGCGGGCTCCTTGCCCGTGACCTTCTGGTAGAGCTGCGGGTAGTAGAGCTCCAGGCTCTCGAGGAAGGCCACGTAGCCCCTGTGGCCCGTGCGCTGCAGGATGTCCAGCAGCGCGCCTGCAACCAGACAGCTGCTGGGGGCGGGCGGGAGGGCGTGGGCCGGGCGCAGGGGCGGGGCCCTGGCAGCCCCGCAGGCCCGGGGGGGGGGGGGGGGGGGCGCCCACCGCCCGCCCGCAGGTGCCAAGCCCGCAGGACAGGGCAGGAGGCCGGGGTTTCCCGCTCCCACACGGCCCTCCCGGGGAGCGGGCGGCGGGCACTGACCCACTTTGCGCTTGCGGATGGCCAGGCTGGGGTCGCTGAGCACCTGCTCCTCGTCGTCGGGGCTCAGGACCTTGCACTGCCGCAGGTAGGGCGTGATGCGCGCGGGGTCGATGACGGAGATGAGCTTCACGCGGAAGCCCTCCAGGGCGCTCCAGCACTCGTCCTCGTTCTCGTAGTCGGACATGGCGGCGGGCGCGGCCGAGCAGGGGCGCACTGGCAGGACACGCGCGCTGAGCTGGCGTCCCAGCAGGGACCGGGCTGCCACCTGGAGCTCGGCCCGCGCTCTGGGCAGAGGCGAACAGGAACCAGGCCCCGGCGTGGTCGAGGGAGTGTGCAGCCCCACCCACCTCCCATCTCCGAGACCACAGAGGGCACGACCGCGGCACGGTGACCCGCGCCCCATCAGCTCACTGGCGGCGCCCCCAAGCCGTCCCTGGGCGCCCTGGCCTCTCTCCGGGGCCCCCTCTACGGTTGGGGGGATGGGGGAGACGCTGTCAGACAGGGGGAGTCTAGGAACACTGCCCTCCGACCCTGCCCTGCTCCTGGGCACCCCCAGTGCCATGGAGCCAGACAGCTGCCTCCCCCAGGATGCTAGCTGCGTGGGTGCCGCCCCTGGCACTGCCCCCTGGCAGGTGAGGGCGAGGAGGCAGCCTTCGGTGCCCAGGTTGGAGCCAGAGTGTTGGCAGGGGACCCTCCCACCTTCCCAGCCCCACGACTTCCTCATTCGCCCACTCAGCGCCCTCACATCCCAGTCCATCCCCTCCTCTCCTTCCGGGCCCGTGGCTGGTGATGCAACTGCCACCCAGCCGCTGCCCAGGGCTGGCGGCTCCGGGTGAGGCTCCGCGACTTTGCGGCTTGGGAAGGGTGGCCGGACGCCCATGGGGGACCAGGGCCCGCCCGAAAGGCGGCTTCGGCGCCTGCCCCAGTCGCTCTGGTGCCGGGCACCCAGCCACCTCTGGCCTCCTCTCCCGCCTCCCCGAGGCGCCTGCTCAGGGCCTGCTCTCGGGGTGTCACCTGGCTCTCTGACGGGACTGCCCGGCACAGGCCAAGGCAGGGAGCGGCCTTGCGGTCGGCCGTTGGGCAGTGGGGACAGAGGCCGGGACCCACCCTCGTGACAGAGCCTTGGGCCCACGTGGGAAAGGCCACTCGTCCTGGGAGCTGGACCGCAGCTTGAGGCCTGGTGGTGGGGGCCTGGGCGGTGGCGGGGTCCCTGCCCCCTGCTGTGCCTGGGGGTGTGTTCCAGCCTAGCGACAGCCAGGCATCAGGGCACCGAGGGGAACAGGGCAGTGCCCACGCCGTGGCCCGCCCACGCCCCGCCGCTGTTGCTGGTTCCCAGATGCCCCCAGGTGCCCTGCTGGGAGGCTCCTGCACCTTTCAGAAGGGGACCACATACCTGAGGGTCCCGGAGGGAGCCAGGCAGCTGGATGCCCGTCAGCCAGCGCCACTGATTCAATGAGGGCCGGGAAGGGAGGGAGGGAGCCCTGACTTCCTGAAGAGGGACAGGCCCAGGTGGCTGCCTTCTGATTGGCCCGGCCAGGCGCCCTGGAGGCTGGGTCCAGGGAAGTGGAAGTGGCCTGCGCTCCGAGGAGAGCTGCTGGGGCCCTCCCGCCCAGGAGGCCAGGCCCCCGTGCTCTCTGGGGCCCCTGGGGCCACACAGGCTACTGGGGGCTTTCGGGCAGGAGGTGCCCTGTGCCCAGCACGTCCCCCTTCAGCAGCTTCAGGGGTCCAGCCGCCAGGGGACTGAGGGAACCAGCCCCACTCCGGGGCCCACACAGCCAGGCCGGCACACCGTGTGTCACAGGGCTGCAGTGCGCTGTGCGAGGGCAGGGGCTGGGGAGGCCGCCCGCCAGCCAGCACACCCTCCCCTTCCCAGGAGCACCCCACTTTCCACCAGGACTCACTGGGTGTGACAGCCCTCCCTGTGGGCCGAGGGAGCCCAGGCCACCACCTCAGGGGCAGCCACACTGGCCTGGCTGGGGTGACAGCTACAGGACAGGCAGGATGAGCAGGTTGGGTGCCTGCCCTGCTCTGGCCCCGCCCCCCAGGTGCTGCCTCCCCTGGCCGCTCCCTTCCGGGGAGCCTCATCCTCAGTCCTGGCGAGTCTGCTCCGGCCCATGGCAGTCTGGTGTGGGGTTGACCTTGGGGGTCCTGGCACATGCGGGGGCTGTGAGTCTGAGTGCGGTGGCAGGGCCCACCCGGAGGACACAGAGCCCGCTGTCACACCTGGAGAAGCAGCAGCCAAGGGTCCCCTGGGGCCCTTGGGGGAGTTGACCTGGGGGCTCACGCCCACGGTCGGGTGCAGCAGGTCTCCTGAGGGAGGGCGTGGCTCCACTCGGAACCGTGGCCCGTCTGTGTGGGTCCCCCACCCTGTCTCCCTACTTTGTAAAACGAGGCTGTGGGGGGGCATTAAATAACAAGCACGTCTCACTCGCAGGCACTGAGCTGGGATTTGGGTGGAAAACAGCTGGGCGAGCCCTGTGTATTTGGAAAATTTATTTCTTAAAAAATGTGTATGTACTGATTTCAGAGAAGAAGGGAGAGGAAGAGATAGGAACATCCATGATGAGAGAGAATCACTGATCACTGCCTCCTGCACGGCCCAGACTGGGGATCGAGCCGCAACCACTGAGCCACCCAGCCGGGCTGGAATGTCACACGAACCCTCGAGAAGCCGTGGCACAGGGGGCCGGGGAAACCAGGAACTAGTGGGGAGAGCGCAAAGCAACGCCACGTCCACAGCACCCGAGTGACGGCTGGCGGGAGGGGGGGAGCCTGGGGCCAGGACACGCTGACCCATCGCCCCGTTTCTCTGCTGGACGCGGGACAGGAAGTCGTGGCGGCGTGGCGCGGCGCCCACAGGATGAAGCGGCACCGTGAGCCTCAGTGCAGGCTGAGCCCGAGCCGGGGCCCTGGGGCAGGCGGAGCCGGAGCCACGGGACGGGCTCCTGTAGGGAAACGCCGCACGAAGGAAGGAGGCCCGTGGGCTGCTGGGTCGGCCGGTGTGGTCTGGACAGCAGGGGAAGTGGGTGCCCGGTCCCTGAGGTGACACCCGAGGGCTGCCCGCCTCTGCTTCCCTGTTCCCACCCGCAGAGGCCCAGCCTGCTGCTCCCAGCAGGTCCAGGAGGCGCCCAAGCCTCCACTCACCGCCCAGTATCTCAGAGACACAGGAGCCTCCGGCTGCTTTTTAATGAAAAATAGAACACTTACTAACTCCTTCAAACATGCCCACGTGCACACAGGAGCAGCCGCGCCCCTGCCGCCAGCACGGTTACTCCTGGCAGCGCCTCCCAGGCACCAGCCACTGTCTCCTGTGGCCGGCGGGGCTGGCGGGCCCGTGGGCTCCAGCTCCTGTGGGTGTGGCCGTGGGCATCGGGCGAGCCGTCCTGGAACACAAGGACCCCATGGTAGGGGTGCCGGGAGGCACTGCGCCTGGTGGGGGAGGGCGGGCCTCAATGGCGGGCTCCTCTATGGTGCTCGCGCCCCAGAGCCCCCGGCCCCACCCGCTCCAGGAGCTGCTCCTGCCTCTGTGATGAGGCCTCCGGGGCCAGGTCTGGGACGGGGACCCAGCAGCAGAAAGTCACGTGCCTGCCCTCGGGCTTGCGTTCAGGGGAAGACGGGAGGGGCGAGTGCCTCGGGACGGACGGCTCCTCAGGGGAGCGGTCAGGTCAGGGAGGGCGTCTCTGAGGAGCTGCCCCTGAGCAGACGGGAAGACGGCAGGAAGGAGCCCGGCCCTCTGCCCAGGACCTGCCTCACACATCGCCCGCTGAGAGCTCGAGGCGCCCCCCTGCCCCCGCCCAGCAGACCGCACGCGGGGCCAGCAGCTGCCCGGACTCACCGGCTCACAGCAGCCGTCGCCTCTTGCGGGCGTGCCGGCCATGCCGCGTCTGGAGCACATCAACGTCGTCGAGATCGTCCGGGCAGGAAGGGGCAGGGTCTGGGGCTCCCTGAAACAGGGGACAGCAGTGACCCCGCAGCCAGGACGGGCAAGATGAGCAGTGGGAACAGTGAGGAATGGGCTGAGGGAGCCGTGGACACCACACACTATGGGGTCGGGGGCCTCTTCGGTCCAGCCGGGTCTCCAGGGCTTGTCAGCCCAGAAGACAGCCCTGGGACCCCTAAGCAAGGCCTCAGGCTGGATCGAGCCCCAGGGAGGGGGACCCAGCCTCAGCCACAAGCCTGGCCTCCCAGGTGTCAGCCAGCCCAGCAGCCACAGGCACCCAGAGGGGAGGGAGGCAGATGCTCCCAGGACACTGCCAGCACCGGACAGCCTCCCTGACGGGCACAGCGTCTGCGGTAGCCTAGCACGCCTGCTCGCCGACAACAGGGCCTGGCTGCGGACTGCTGGGCGGCGCAGCACGAGGTGCAGGGACACCTCCCGAGAGGCTCCTACCAGGTTCCTCAGAGGAAACAGGGACCCTAGACCCACCTGCAGCTCAGAAAGCCCGCGGGCGCGGTGCAGGGCTGGGTGGGGGCCGAGGGCTCCCCGGGTCAGAGGAGGTTCCTTCCTCTCACAGCCACAGCGGCCCAAGGGGAGGCGCCTCTGCACAGCCCGCATGCAGCCACGTCCCCTCCACACCAGCCACTCTCCCACCGCTTCCACCTGCTGCAGCCCCGCCCACCACCCTGGGCAGGCCGGGCAGCGTGGGAGTGCAGCACTGTGCCCATGGCCACCCACCTGCACTGGGGGTATGGCTGCAGACCCTGCCTGGGCACTGCTGCTCGCCCGGACTGGCTGCCTGCTGCCATCGGAGCGTGCCAGCTCCTCCAGGTCCTCGTCCTCGCTCCCTGAGGTGGGCCTCGTGGCTGACAAGGTGGTACGGACGCCGGGAGGGGGCAGGGTGGCCAGCAGTGCGGGCAGAGTGAAGGCAGCCAGGAAGCGGGCCTTCAGCAGCAGGTAGGCCGGGCTGTCCTGCAGCTGCTCCTGCACCCACCCCCGCGAGGCCTGCAGGGTGCCAGCTACCCCGCCGGGCACCAGGGCTGCGGCTCTGTGCTCCAAGGCCTTCTTGTGGAGCAGGAGACCAGACAGTGCCTGCAGGCTGCACAGGGCGGGGGGCTGGTAGGGCAGTCTGCTGCCCAGCGGGGGCACACACACCCCCCGCAGCCCCCGGAGCCACTCCTGCACGGCCGGCTCGCTCTCCTGGGAGAGCAGGCTGAGGTCCAGGGCATCCTTCTCAGGCCCGCGCTGGGGTGGGGGTGGCCTCTCCAACCCCAGAGGCGCCCTGGTCCCCCCTGGCTCTGCTGGGGACAGCAGTGTCCTTCCTGGGCCAGCACCGGGGGGCAGAGGCAGCTGGCAGGGCTGGGCTTCTGCAGGGATCTGGGGGGGTGGGGCCGGCGAGAGGGCCTCGAGGTCTGCCCTGGAGGCAGGGCCTGGTTCTGCGTCCCTGTTGGCGTGGCCCTGGCCTCCTGGAGTCTCCGTCACTGAGGGCAACAGAGTCACCGCCAGCCCTTGGGGGTCAGGGGTCGCTGCTGGCCCGGGGAGGCCCAGCACGGCTGGCAACGGCACGGGGAGCAGCACGCTGCTGATAGGCAGAGGGGCGCTGGCGGCCACATGGGGCCCGCCCCTGAGGGTGCCCGGAGCTGACGTCAGCCTGAGGGACTGGATGAGCGGCTGAGCGGGACTGGGAGCCGCAGGAAGCAAGGCTGGTGCCTCGGGCAGGCCCTGCCCCCAGGACGTGGCAGGGGCTGGAGACGGTCCGCGACTGTCCAGCTGGCGGCCCCCAGGGACCTGCAAGGCCACGGTGGGGACAGGAGCCCAGGCCAGGGCCTGCAGGGCAAGAGGCTGCGTGGGTGTGACCCCAGAGCCTGGGGCGCTCGGACTGGTCGCGGCAGGGGCCCCCGGCCCAGACAGCGCGGACTTGGAGACGCCCGGCCCTGTGGCTGGGGGGCCGCAGGAGGCCAGTGTGAGCGGGGGCTGGAGGATCACAGGCGAGGAGACCAGCAGCTGGGGTGGGAGCACCACGGGGCCCTGGGCAGCCTTGCTGGCTCGGGCCTCCCGCAGCCGCTTCTCTCGAAGCAGCTGGAACACCGTCTTCACTTTGTGCAGGGGGCGGCCTGGAGCTGGCGGGGGCGCCGCAGGGGTGTCCTGGGGAGGGCAGGTCTGCAGCCCCCGGCCCCCTGCACCCCTGGGTCTCTTTGCTGCAGCGCCTTGGGCTGTCACCTGGCTCGGAAGGTGGCCTGAGGGAGGACAGAACACACCACGGAGGTCCAGGTGCCTGTCCAGACCCACCTCAGCCCGCCCCGCAAGAGGTCTCCTCGGGCAGCTGCTGGGCATGTGGGAGCAGGAGCCCGGGGCCCCCACATCGTGAACATCTTTTCTGCCTCCCGGGCCTGTGCTGGGGGGGCCTCAGGGCTTACCCACTGCACTCAGCACCCCCCTCGGCCAGCTAGGCTCATGCCCCTCAAACAAAACCCTCATCCGTCGTGGCCAGGCCGCTCCCGTGGGGGACAGAACAGCCGAGAGAAAGGGAGAGCCAGTACCTGGGGTGCTCTGGGCACTGGAGGGCGCCTGGAAAAGAAGGGAGAGACTCAGCACTCGGGGAGTCCCGGGCTGGATCCCTTCTCTTTCTTTTTCCTTTTTCATGTGGCCCCGCCCCCTTGTTCACCTGACTGCTCTCCCCAACCCTTTGTGCCACCACCAAGACCACGGCTCACTTCTTGCCCATAGAGGGGCACAAGGCCTGGCCCCGCTCCCACCTGCAGCCAGAGGCTAGGGCCCAGCCTGGATGGCCCTCCCGGGCCTGGCACCCCTCCCCAGGCCCCTGCCTCCCTCCTGATGCAGCTCCGCTCCCAGGCCCCCTTGCAGAGCCCATCTAGGTGGCCGGGCTGGGCTGCAGGAGAGGCAGGGCCTGGCTGTGGGACAGGAGGGCACAGGGTCCGTGGCCTGGTCGGGGCACCACGGCCACAGTTGTCCTTGGACCGCTTTGTGGTCTCCTCCAGTGGTGACCAGGCTCAGGACAGCCTTTTCCTGACGGACCCCGTGGGCTTGGCCACCTGCACCAGGGGAGCAGCTCAGCAGGGTGGGGGTGTGAGAAGCTGGGAGCCGGCGGCCTGCAAGGGGGCCGTCTCTCCTCCCGGACGGTGGGGAGTCTTCGGGGCTCCAGGCCCTCCCCGAGACCAGCCCCACGGGACCCCAGACACCCTTGTCCCTGGAAAGAGCTGGCATCCCTTTCTTCCTGGCTGGACCAACGCAGTCTACACCCAGCACTGCCGAGGGGACAGGGTGAAGAGGAGCCGGGGAGCCCGGCCGGCACCCCCACTTCTCACCTGAGCCCCGGCCGGGGGCAGGGGGGGCAGCCGGGCCTTCCTCTCTCGAATGACCTCCATGCAGCCGGCAGTGTCGGTGTGGAACAGCTGAGGGACACATGGGGCACACACCACACATGCGTGACACGTGTGGCAGGAGGCCCTGCCCGTCCTGAGCTACCCCACAGCCCAAGGGCCACGGCGAAAGGGTCTGCATGGGGCCCAGGCCAGCCCCCACCAGTCCTCTCGGCACAGGTCCGAGGCCCAGAGGCGCAGGCTGGTCGCCGGGCTGCCTGCCCGCCCCGATCCGAGCCCGGGGGACAGTGTTCCCCACGCAGCCCCATCCCTTCCGGGTCCGGGCGAGGGTGTGGCAGGGACGCTGGCACTGTTGTCAGGACCCACAGCTTTAGGAAACTGCACTGCATGAGGGACGTCCACCGGCGCCCCCCACAGGCCAGGCATGCGGAGGGCACTCTGCAGGGCTCACCTGCATGAGGAGGGTGAACACCGGGGTGCTGGCCAGGCGGGCGTCCTGCAGCTGCGCCCCGATGCTGTCGGCTGGGGGACAAGGGCACATGTGCAAGGTGGCCCCGGAGCCTGGGTGCCAGGCAGGGAGCCCCAAAGAACCCCAAAGCCAGCTGCCACCCCTTCTGACCAGGGAGGGCAGGGGCCAGAGCGCAGACCGGCCCTGACGGGGCCTCAGCTCGGCCTTGGGGCCAGGCACTCCGAGAGCGAGTGTCACAGGTAAGACGTTCAGACACCCCACCTGCCCGTGGGCCCACTGGCCATGCTCACAGGAACGCGCTCCTGCTGAGGCTTCAATGGCAGGACAGAGGCTAACCCCACACCTCCCACAGGACTCCGCCCTCCAGGAAAACAAGCAGGTGTCCGCGGGCCCCCACGCCCCTCCCCCCAGCAGGCCCCCAGAGCCCCAGGGCAGTACCTCGTGTGGGCGCCGCAGTGGGCCTCCTGGGAGCACAGGGCACGATGTCGTCGCCCACCCAGGGACTCACGGCCATCAGTAGCTGGCGCCCGAGGCGCCTCTGCTGGAGGGCGTGTCTCCGGTGCTGCCGCCACAGCTGCCCCGTGTGGGGCCTGGTCACAGTGCCGTCGCTGCCGCCGGAGGTGGTCCCCTGGGGTGAGCCGAACAGGCACGGCTTCTTCTGTGGGGGGAAGGCACCTGAGTGTCGCCCTCACTGCCCCCCAAAGCTGTGGACCCAAGGGGACAGGGTGGGGCTGTGGCAGTGTGCACACACAGGTGCAGGGTGGGCTGTGGCAGTGTGCACACACACGGGCGGGGCAGGGCTGTGGCAGTGTGCACACACACGGGCGGGGCGGGGCTGTGGCAGTGTGCACACACACAGGCGGGGCAGGGCTGTGGCAGTGTGCACACACACGGGCAGGGCGGGGCTGTGGCAGTGTGCACACACACGGGCGGGGCGGGGCTGTGGCAGTGTGCACACACACGGGCGGGGCGGGGCTGTGGCAGTGTGCACACACAGGTGCAGGGTGGGCTGTGGCAGTGTACACACACACGGGCGGGGCGGGGCTGTGGCAGTGTGCACACACAGGTGCAGGGTGGGCTGTGGCAGTGTGCACACACAGGTGCAGGGTGGGGTGGGCTGTGGCAGTGTGCACACACAGGTGCAGGGTGGGCTGTGGCAGTGTGCACACACATGCACTCAGGGGGCAGAAAGGTGTGGTGGTAGATGACGCGGGCAGGCCCTTACCTGAGCCTGGCCCCGGACGGTCATATTGGTCTTGAGCATGTACCTCAGGGTCTCCAGAGGCACCTTCAGCAGCCGCCTCGCGCCCTGACGGACAGACAGCGAGGCTGAAGGCAGGAGCCCAGCGTGGAGCCGCCACCTGGCAGCACGCTAACTCCTCACCCAGACCCCAAAGCCGGCACCACGCTGGTGAGGAACATGCTCTGGGTGCCTAGGCAGGGCCTCCCCCAAGACAGGCACACGCCTGGCAGGCCAGCGGGACCGGAGCCCAGGCCGGGAGGCGGCTTCTCCTTGCCCACTGCCCTGCCCAGCTCGGGGGGAGACGCTGCAGGAAGGGCTCCAGGCCTATGTGCCCCGAGCAGCTCTCCTGCGTGGCTTTCACGGCAACTGAGGCCACGGCCTCGGCGGGAAGGCTGCTGCTGGGCCCCCTCCTGACACGGGTCTGGAGTAAACCTCGTCAGAGCAAGGTGGGGGTGCTGCCCACACGTGGGGGCACAACTGGCATGAGATCAGGCCGGCCCACTGCCCTGAGCACTGGCCTGTTGGCTGCCAAGCGGCAGCATCCAGTCCCCAAGCCTGGGTACACCAGGGCCAGGCCCACCTCGTTGGCCGGCCCCTCGGAGCTTGTGGGACGAGTGTCCTCGCAGGGCGGGGACCCGATGCCGCCCAGGCTGGCGCTGTGTGTCCCGGACGGGGCCGGTCTGCCCGTCTCCTCCACGTCCCTGCTGCCACCAGGAGCAGCACTGGAGGCCCGGGGACGGCCGGGGGAGGCGGCTGAGCGTCCCGGGCAGCCCCCCGGCCCCAGTGTGTGGGCGCTCTGCCTGGCGGGAACCCACAGGTCCACGTCCGGCACGCTGTGCTGTGCTGGCGGCAGAGACTGGCCATCTTCCTGGGGGCCCAGCGCTTCCTCCGGCTCTGGCTCCGGCTCCGAGTCCCCGCTGTCCCCATCGCTGCTGCCGCTGCTGCCGCTGGCCTCGCTGCTGGAGCTCCACCGCACGCTGCGCAGGCGCCGCCGCCGCCGCCGCCACTGCCTCTTCCCCTGCCTCGTGCCCTTTTGTGGGGAAAGGGCTGCATGAGGCCTCGTCTCCTCAGCCTCAGCAGCGAGGGCACAGGCTGCTCTCGGGAGGGCGCTGCCCACCAGACCCGTCTCCCTCTGCCCTGGGCCACAGAGCCCTCTCCTCTTCACCCACCCGCACCCCTCGCCCTGCCCCGGGCGGCGGGGCCTCACCCTGCCCATGATCTTCCACTTGCTCAGACACTGGGAGCCCGTCCGGTGGGGCAGCTCTGAGGCGATTTTCTCCCAGTGGCCTGCGGGGAGGACACAGGCAGCGCTCAGGTCTGAGGACACACCCTCGGCCAGGAAAAGGCTCTTCCCCGAGAAGCTGGCCCCTCGAGATGCAGTTGTCCCCAGAACGGGCTCCTGCTGCCCTTCCCGCTCAGAAGCTTCCGGCACAGCTGGGGACGGAGCGACTGGACGGGAGAGGCCTTGCCTAGGGAGCAGCCGCACGGAGGGCCGAGGCCTCTTCCCTTCCAGCTCACCTCTGCCTCCGCGTCCCCGTGACTGTGGCCTGGTCCGTGTGGCGGGGCTCCACCACCTCCTGTCTGGGGCCGCCTGGGAGGGGGCGGGGACCGAGGCGGCCGGCCCGCAGGACTCACCCACACCGTGCTTCTCCACCAGCTCCAGCAGCTGCTCCTCCTCCTCGGGGCTCCAGCGCCCCTTCTTCAGGCTGAAGTGCAGCCTCCGTAGGTACCTAGAGGCGACGAGGACATGCGTGTTTTGGGCCGGGATGGCCTGCCCAGACATCAATGGGCCACAAACCAGAGCCCTGTGCCCGCACCACGGGTAAACCGGAGCCCTGTGCCCGCACCACGGGTAAACCGGAGCCCTGTGCCCGCACCACGGGTAAACCGGAGCCCTGTGCCCGCACCACGGGTAAACCGGAGCCCTGTGCCCGCACCACAGGGAAACCGGAGCCCTGTGCCCGCAACACGGGTAAACCGGAGCCCTGTGCCCGCACCACGGGTAAACCGGACTCTGTCAGAGTGAAAGCTCGCGGGCTTCCGCGTCGGGAAAGGGAAAGACGGTCCCAGACGGCGAGTTTGCAAACCGCGTGCCCGCGAAGAGGCCTGGTCTGGAGTTTACAACGGCCTCTCTGCGCCAGTGACCCGACAGGTAGCCCAGCGGACACGGGCAGGGCACCGGGCACTTCCCCAGGGAAGGCAGCGCGCGGGGGCGCTCCCAGGGCGGCTGCGGGAAAGGCCACTCACACCGGCGGGACGCATAGCGCCCCGACGCCCCGTGAGAACAGCAGGGCCTGCTGGCGAGGCCATGGAGACCGGGCCCCGCACGTGGCCGGGACAGAGCGCGGGCAGCCCCTGTGGAGGGGCGTCTGGCAGTCCCCGGGGGAGCTGGCACCCACAGGCTCAGGCGTGTCTGAGAACGAGGACGCCGAGCGCAGCACCTCGCTCACCGTGTCCCTCTCCCAGGCTCCAGCCCACGGCGCTCAGCAAGTCCCCACCGTTTCTCAGGCAACAACACGCGACCGCCCAGACACTGCCGCTGTCCTCCCATCCTCCCTGTCCAGGGCACTCGGGTGTGCCCCGCCCGGGCGCCACAAACACGCGTGTCCCCCTCCCGGATGCTGGGAGTGAGGCGTGTCCCTGCCTGGACCCGGTGGACGATGCTGCTGTGAGCACAGTGTACAAACAAGTGTCCGAGTCCCTGTGTTCACATCTTCTGGGTGTGCAGGGGAAGGTGTGGGCTACAGGTGTGCAGGGAGAGGTGTGGGTTACGGGTGTGCAGGGGGAGGTGTGGGCCATGGGTGTGCAGGGAGAGGTGTGGGCTACGGGTGTGCAGGGGGAGGTGTGGGCCATGGGTGTGCAGGGGGAGGTGGGGGCTACGGGTGTGCAGGGGGAGGTGGGGGCCATGGGTGTGCAGGGGGAGGTGGGTGCAGGGGAAGGTGGGGGCCATGGGTGTGCAGGGGGAGGTGGGGGCTACAGGTGTGCAGGGGGAGGTGGGGGACATGGCGGCGGGTGTGCAGGGGAAGGTGGGGGCTACGGGTGTGCAGGGGGAGGTGTGGGCCACGGGTGTGCAGGGGGAGGTGTGGGCCACGGGTGTGCAGGGGGAGGTGTGGGCTACGGGTGTGCAGGGGAAGGTGTGGGCTAAGGGTGTGCAGGGGGAGGTGGGGGCCATGGGTGTGCAAGGGAAGGTGGGGGCTACGGGTGTGCAGGGGGAGGTGGGGGACATGGGTGTGCAGGGGGAGGTGGGGGCTACGGGTGTGCAGGGGGAGGTGGGGGACATGGGTGTGCAGGGGGAGGTGGGGGCCATGGGTGTGCAGGGGGAGGTGTGGGCCATGGGTGTGCAGGGGGAGGTGTGGGCCATGGGTGTGCAGGGGGAGGTGGGGGCTACGGGTGTGCAGGGGAAGGTGGGGGCCATGGGTGTGCAGGGGGAGGTGGGGGACGTGGCGGCAGGTGTGCAGGGGGAGGTGTGGGCTACGGGTGTGCAGGGGGAGGTGTGGGCTACGGGTGTGCAGGGGGAGGTGGGGGCCACGTGACGGTCCTATTTAATTCCTGAGTCTCCACAGCACATTCCCACCCGAGGTGCCCAGGGTTCCAGTCTCTCCACCTCCTTGTGCATGAAGTGGTGACCCTTGGGGATTTGACTTGTATTCCTGAAATGACAGAGGATTAAACACATCTTTTCATGTGTTTAATCTTTGGAGAAACGTCTGTTCAGGCCCTTTGTTTATTTCTGACTTGTTTTCTTTGCTGGGGAATAGGTTTCATTGGGGGGGGGGGGAACAAAATACCCTAAAAATGATGGCCACGACGACTCGGTGCTCACACCAGAAACCCAGACCGCACGTGCTAGAGGGTGAGCTGGGTGGCAGGGGAGCCACGCCTTCACAGAGCGGCCTGGATAAAAGCCAGCCCAGAGGGGTAGGGGCTCAGCGAGATGGGGGGGAATCACAACAGGGCTCAGGGCGCCTGCCTCTCAGGGACCGTCCCCACTGGAGTCTGAATAAGCTGCGGCTTGAAAGTGAAGAGCTGCCCCACTTCCCAACTGGGTCTCCCCTGGGCCCCAGGCCGCCCTGGGCCAGAGCACCGGCCTGGTCTCCGCACCCACCCAGGCCCGTCGCACCCGCAGTTCACACTCACCGGTCTCGGCACTGGGCGTCGCTCCTCCCTGGCACCTCCTCCCGGATTTTAAACCAATCGTGCTCCCCGTATTTGGCAACGGCTTGAAGCAACTTCTGCAGGAAGGACACAGACAGATGGGCCTCTGCAGTAATCACAACCCCCCACTCAGTCCGCTACGGGGCCGCCAGTGTGCAGGTGGCCTTCCCAGGAGATGGCCCTCCCGGCCCCCACACCTACCGTGTCTTCCTCTGGGGTCCAGAGGCCCTTTCTGAGGCGGGGGTCCAGGCTCTTGGTCCACCGGTAGATGAGCTGCATGGAGTCCCTCCCCTCCATGTAGTAGACAACTGGGGGCAAAGGGGCCTCGTGAACTTGCCCCTCCCGGGTCCCCCAGGAAGGAGCAGCCATCACCATAGAGCATGGAACCGGGACCCCTGGGGCGGCCAGACCCTCCCTTCTACCTCCAGCCTGGCCTCGCCACCCGCCAGACGCCCGGCCGTCCCTGCCCTCCCGTCGCGGCCCGGCCGAGGGCGCACTCACTGCGGCGGTAGGGGATGTGGTTGCCCACGCGCATCTCCTGCACCAGCTGCGTGAGCATGCGGTCCTCCGCCTCCGTCCACGCCCTGCGCCTCAGGGCCTTGTTGTGCTGCTGGAACTGCTGCAGACACTGGAAGGCGCTGCGCCGGGTCTGCGGCCACACCAGGCGGAGGCTGTCACTGGCGCACCGCGGGCGGAGGCGCCATGTGGGTGAGGGCTTCTGGGCACCGACAACCCACTCGCTTCCCCCTCCCCGCCCCAGGACAGCAAGCGCCTGTGGCGAACGCAGACGTGCTCGGCAAGGAGACACCTCAGAGGAGTCACAGGAAGACTCCGTCTACGTGACACCCAAGCCGCACGCTGCCTCTCAGCTCGGCGCCCGCCGTACCCCTGGGTCTCCAGGTCCCTACAGCACCCACACCCCTGCGGTCTGGGAGGTCCTCACCCCCAGCTCCTCGGCGATCTCCTGCCAATGCAGGTGGCCGTGCTTGGCCGCGATGGCCTTCAGCTGCTCCAGCTCCGGCCTGGTCCACTCCTGCTTGTTGATGCTGGGGTGCTCCCAGTTCTGCCAGAACTTCCGGATCTCCTCTGCGCTGCGACCACCTTCAAACTGCAGAGACCCCCGCGGAGCTGTCACTGGCAGCAGCCGTGCGGGGAGAGCGGGCGCTCCATCCAGGCGCCAGGCCTCGTGCAGCCAAACCCATAGGCTTGGCTCTAAATGCAAAGCGACTCAGCACCCGCCCCCTTCAGCGGGCCGGGGAGGGGTGGTGGGGGGGCGTTGTGTGTGGGAGGGGGGGCGCTGAGAGCCACCGCAGTGCTGGCCACGCACCTGGCCACGGGTCACGCTGGGTCTGGTGGTGGCCACAGAGCGTGCTCCGACTTACATTAATGTTGGAAATCTTCTCCCAGTCGTGGCTGTCCAGCCTGCTGCCCAGCAAGGCCTCCTCCGGGAGCTGGCTGCAGAGGCGAAGGCACCGGGTCAGGCCGGCCCCTCGCCCCGTCCACGCCGCCCGGCACCCCACTCACTTGATGTCGCGGATCTCCTCCTCGGCCTTGCTGCTCTGCTCCTCCAGGGCCGCCCGCTCCGCCTCGCCCGTGGCCCTGCTCAGCTTCTGCTGCAGGTACTCGAGCCTGCGGGCGGCAGAGGCCGGTCACTGCGGGCAGGCGGCTCCCACAGCACCGCCCAGGGCACTGGCTATGAGCCTGGCCGGGGTTTGGGCCCGTGGGCTAGTTCGCCTCCCGGAGCGGCCGCGGCTCCTCGCCTGCAGAGAACGCGGCGCCACCCCTGGCTGTCATGTCAGCAGCGAGTGCAGCAACGTGCTGCTGACGCAGGGTGGGAACTGCGGCCGCCCCACATGCCAGAGCCAGAGCCCAGTGACCAGCTTCCAGCCGTGTGCCTGCGCACATGCCCGCTTCCCGCAGCCCAAGGAGGGCTGTGACCGTCACACAGGCAGCCCTGACCCCCCCGTCAAGGCCTGAGGCCACAGAAGGCCCTGGGACCCCCTGGCTGGTCCAGGCGCTGTGATTTGGTCACGTGACGTCACGCTGTCAGCACACACAAAGCAGGTCTCACGAATGGTCCCCATTTTCACAGTGGACACCGAGGCCCAGACCAGAGAAATTGCCTGAGTGAGGCCAGCACCGAGGGGGCTCGGCCAACCCGCCTCCACACTGGCCTCCAGCCGCTGCCGCAGGGGACCCCGCAGGAGGCCAAGCCTCCCCAAGCCCAGCGGCTGCTCGGCGAGGCCCTGGGACTCACTTCAGTAACTTGGGCTGAAGCAGGCGCTGCAGGCGGCCGCTCACCACCGCCTTCCTGAGCAAGGCCTTCTCCCAGCTCTTCCCTGAGGAGAGACGAGGCTCAACGGGGCTGCCAGGGGCGGCGCCTCCCACGATGGCAGCTCCACCTTCCACGTTCAGTCAGAGAGCGCGCAGGGCAGACTGCCCAGCCGGCCCCCTGCGAGGAGGCGTCCCCCCCCCCCCGCGAGGAGGCCCCCCCGTCCCCCCCCCGCGAGGAGGCCCCCCCCCCCCCCCCCCCCCCCCCCCCCCCGCCCGCTCAGTGCAGAGGCAGGGCTGGGAGGGGCCCGGCCCCGCGTCTGGCCGGGAGGGAGCGGGTGTGGGAGGCGCGGTGCCCGAGCGCAGCCCTCACACTTGGTCACCAGGAGCTCCTCGAAGGTCTTGATGCCCTGGCCAGCCTTCTCCCGCGCGTCCTCGTTGGCAGGAGGCCCCTGTCCGAGAGCACGGCGTCACGATGCGGCTCCCCTCCTCCTCCGCCTCCTCCAGCGGCCGGGCCCCGTGCCAGGCCTGGCCCTCAACACCTGGACCTGGAGCGGCCGCCTCACCGGGCACCGGGCACCACCCCACCGGCAGAGGGTGGCGAAGAGGGGAAAGCTGCCACCAGCAACACCGGGCCCCACCACCAGGACCGGGCAAGCCCTGCCTCGCTGGCCCTCGGCCACCCCTGGAGGCCCGGCCCGGGGCTGACCCGTGGAGCAGCTGGCCGGCCCCACACAGGAGGGGGCCCGGGAGGGGGTAGGACGCTAGAGACCACCGCCCTGAAGACACGGGAATTCACGACTGGCTGCGGGGGGGCGCCCGCCCCACGGACCTGACGCCCCCCAACTCACCACTCCGGTGACCTTGTCCTTGAAGTAGGGCTTGAGGAAGTGCCCGACGTACAGGTTCAGGGGCAGGCTCTTGCTGTCCTTCACCCGGGGGCCTTTGGACCCTGCCAGGTCCCACATGACTTCCTCCTGTGGACACGAGGGGCCTGTGGGAGGACCGCCCCGGTCCCGGGAGGCCTGGCGGGGTGCGCGGGCCGGACCGTCCTACCTGCTGCTCCTGGTTCTGGGCCAGCAGCAGGCTGACCTCCGCCAGCTTCTCCTGCAGCACCAGCTGGTAGACCATGTTCAGCTGCAGGCAGGTCTCCGGGTCCTCGGGAAGCGTCTTCCCCTTGGGGTCGTCCTCGTCATTGCTGGCTCCGTCCCACCTCTCTCCTTCCTGCTCACCACGGAGACGGAGACGGCGGGTGAGGACGCGCGGCCACCAGCGCCCCGGCCCTCGGGCCCTCGACCCAGACGCTCGACCGGCAGGACCACCCTGACGTGAACTCCAGGGCAGCCGTTCCCTCATGGAAAACTCATTTCAATTTCTAGGAAGGGGGGGTTTGCGTGAGAAAACGGGGTGTGTGTGTGTGTGTGTGTGTGTGTGGTAGTTCCACTTCCATTTCTGCTAAACTTGGACCCTGTGACTGCCCGTGACGGCCCGTGACGTCCTCACAGGCAGGGGAGGTGCAGGAGGCAGCAGCGCACGCAGCTAGAAAGTGGGAAGGCCGCGGGTCTGAGCAGCGAGGCAGCCCACGGGGGCCTCAGGGGCCTGCCCGCCGCTGGGACAGCAGGCGGTGCCGCTCCTACCGACGGGGCGAAGAAGCAAGCCAACTGCGGAAATCCCCCCAAATCACAGAAAATCCCCGAGTGACCGAGGAAGAGTTAACAGTCGCCAGGCCGAGCGACTCCTTGCCCGACACTGTTCTGGGCGCTCCTGTGTGCGACTGACTGGGCTGTGCCTGCCCCCCCTGCACAGACAGGGAGACCGCGGCCCAGGTCCCGCTGCCTGCCCTCCGTGCGTGGTGTCGGGTTGAGAGGGACGAGGGCTTGGGGAACGCGGGAGGGATGCACTCCAACCTGCTGATGGTTTCAGTTTGACGGTATAAGACGAAGCAACCGCAGCGCGTTGTCTTTATACCGCAGGAACCCCCTCCCAGCAGGAACCCCTCCCAGCAGGAACCCCTCCCAGCAGGAACCCCTCCCCGCAGGAACCCCTCCTCGCAGGAACCCCCTCCCCGCAGGAACCCCTCCCAGCAGGAACCCCCTCCCAGCAGGAACCCCTCCCCACCCCCCCGCCAGCTCAGGCCGGTAGTTACCGAGACGGGGGGACCAGCAGCGGCGGCGTCCTCGTCGGGCAGCGAATCTGGGGACACAAGCACACGGCTGCGACCGCCATGCAAGCAGATGGCTGGCAAGGGGCCCCCACAGGCGCCGACCACAGGCGCGGCACTCGGCCCGCCCCCCGGGCAGCTGCCGGCCAGGAGGGGCTGAAGGACCTCAGGGTGAGACTTGCGTGGCTGGACCTTCCCTCCCCGACAGCACCGGGAGCTGAGCACCGCTCGCGGGCCAGGAGGCAGGACTGGACCGGGCAGGTCCGTGAGAAAGAGACAGAGGCCCAACACGAAGGCACGCAGGGCACAGGGACTGTGGGGACAACCGGGGAGGGGACAGACGCAGAGGCCCTGGGAACAGGAAAGTAGGGCCTCCGAGCTGAGCCTGGGGCGGAGGAGAGGGGGGCAGGGTGGGGGGCCCTGGGCAGCTGGGCCACTGCAGGCAGGCCTCCAGCAGGAGCTGTGAGGGGCACCGGACCCAGGGGGACGGGGGGACGGGGGGGGGGGGGGGGGGGGTGGGGGGGGGGGGGGGGGCAGTTGTTTGCGCCCGTGGAATAGGGGGCCAGGGACGGGGGTCCTCAGCGGCGGTGGCTGTTCCGGCCCGGGGTTCTCCCAGGACGGCCTGACGCAGGTGCCCACCATGGGCGGGCGCTCGGGCAGGGCCAGGGGCTGAAGGAGAAGATGTGCGCAGAGGCCGGTCCGCAGCACCGCGTGCCCGTGGCCGACAGGAGCCGCGGGCAGAGGCGCCGGCTCAGCAGGGAGGAGGCTGCGTGCCTCGGAGCTCACCCGCGTCCCCCGCGTCGGAATCCGAGTCGAGGCTGGACTCTGAGACCTCCTCATCGAAGCCCGAGGGGCCGGGGCCCAAGATCCGCTCCAGCGCCTGGATCTCCTGCGTGATCTTCTCTCTCTCGGCGTCCACGTCCATGGTTTCTGCCGCCGCCAAACGACACGCCACGAGCGTCAGGGACAGAGGACGGGGACCCCTCTCCCCCCGACCGCGCCCGCAGGGGCGGCAGGAGCCCACCGAAGCCGGCACCGGGCTCCCGGAGGCCTGGCTGGGGGCCGGGCTGAGACCGACACCCCCATCCCGGGGGAGGCTGCGACCAGCACGTGGGGGGCGGGGCGGGCACCAGCAGCACCCCAACGCCTGGCCCGTCTCCCCACAAGCAGCCCGGGCGCTGGCACCCAGTGCAGACGCGCAGGGCGGGGGGCTGTCGCCCGGGGGCGGGGAGGCCCTGGGCCACCGGCGGCGCCGCTCGCGGGTGTCCGCCCGGCGCTGTGACCAGGCGGCCGGCACCCCGAGCGGAGCCGGCCCGCGGGCCCCGTCCCCCGGCAGCCGGAGCCGCACCCGTGGTGGCCGACGCTGAGCGGACGCCGGCGGAGGCCCAGGGGCACCGGCCCGGGACCCCGAAGGGGGAGGAGGCGGGACGGAGCGGCGGGGAAGCCCCGGCGGGGGCAGCGCCCAGGAGCGCAGCGCAGACCCGGGCCCCGAGCGCGCGAGAGGGGCGGCGCCCGCCGTCCGCACGGCCCCGCCGCCGGGGCAGCCCCACCCCGCACCGAGCGCCCGCTTTACCCCGGAAGCGCTTCCAGACGGAGCTCCGTCCCGGGAGCCGCCGCCGCCGCCGCCGCCACGCTTCCGGCAGCCGCGCGACGTGGACCCCGCGGACCGGAAGTCCCGCCTCCGAGGCCGCGCCCCCCGGCGCGGGGGACGCCGGGAGGGGCCCTGGGCGGCGGGCAGGCCGGTGCTGCCCCCATGCGGTCGCCCCCGGCACTGCCCGCGTGCGCTGGCCGCCAGCGGAGCAGCTGGGCGGGAGGCGGAGGGGGCCGGGGTCCCCAGCCCACAGCGCCCCTCCAGCCGCGCGGGCCCGCAGTCGGTACCTCCTGGGCTCCGTTCTTCCCTGTGAATTGGATCCAGGGTTCCGGATGGGCCCCCGGAAGGAAACCTGCCAAGCGCGGCGGTGCTCCTAGCCGGGCCGGGTCTCTGCAGGCCGCCGTCAGCGGGGTCAGCCCGGGCAGGGCGGGGCGGTGTGGGCGGGCGAGTCATTCCTCGTAACACGGACGCTCCGCTCCACCGATTGGCGCGGTCTCCTTGGCAGAGGCCATGCTGATCTCCTCTGTATTGTCCAATGTAGTGTCTGTGCTGGGGCAGCTAACGCTGGGGTCTCGGGAGATGACTGGGCGCCCCTTCCCCCAGAGGAGCGGGTCTCCCGGTGGGGCAGCGGATCAGTCTGCACTGAAGGTGAGCCCTGGAAGGGCAGAGCAGGGGCGGCTCCTCCCTCCCAGCGGCTGAGGTTCAGGTGACCTGTATGTTCGGGCTTCTCCTGGGGAACACTTCCAACTGTGGAGAGGATCGGGAGTAACGCCTGTCCGCCCGGCCCTCCGCCCCGCAGCACGTGGAGGGGCTGAAGGGCGGGTGCTCTGGGTGCTGCCCAGTTTCAGGCCCAGCCTGGCGGTAGGCAAGGGGCACCGCTGGTGACCTGCCGTGTGTCCCCTGCCCCCATCAAGTGCTGTGGCCCTCCTGTAGGACCCCAGGAGGAACCCCCCCGCCCCGCCTTCATAGGTCTCCCACAGCTGCTGTGTGAACACAGGAACCTCATCCTGGCATCTCCTACTGCACACATGTCTGCAGCCGGCAGAGCCCACTTGCTCTCCACCACCCGCTGGAGCAGGTGAGCTGGAGGGTGGTTCACCGGATTTCTGGAAGGCTCTTGCCTGTAGCCAAGTTCAGGTCTAGCAGTTTAATCATCTTTTGAAAATTCAACTGCACGATCTCCAAGAATGCTCTAATTCCAGAACCAATCGGTCCAGTGCCAAACCTGCAGCTGCTCTCGGTGGCAGCAGTGGTCTGAGCCCCCCGGCCGCACAGACCACCCGTAGGACAGGGACGAGATGCCTGCCCTGGGGGGAGGACAGTCACGATTCTCAAGCACAAGGAACGGGCCGAGTCAGAAAAAAAGGGCCGAAGCATGTGCATTTAGAATTTATTAAGAAAGCTGTCAATCTGAACAGGAGGGAACATTTATCTTAAAAAATAACATCTGCAGGAAAACAGCACAAGGCACTGAGTGCACGTCACGCCTCCCCCGTCAGAAGGGCTGGAACGGCAGCAGCCCTCTGCTACCGGGAGGCTCTGCACGTCCTCAATCCGACTTCATTATAAAAAGGCCGCTTGGAACATGTATCAAAACCCTCCATCAAACACTTTTCAAACCCAAGGCCCCTAAGGAGGGGCGTTCCGACGGCTTCACAGTGTAGAACCTGTGCCCACCTTGGTCCCTGCAGGACAGCACCCTCCAACCACACGGCTGCCCACACTCAGGCCACCAGTCGCAGGCGCCCTGGGAAGGCTGCAGGGTGGGCGGAGCCAGGGGCACTGAGCAAAGGCAACAAGGCACGCGGCCCTGTCCAAGGCAGTCATTTCATTTCGGCTCATTTAGTGTTTCCTTTATGTGGGAAATCAAGGACAATCGATCGAACTTAGAATGAACATTCTGGAATAAGAATGGAAGACTCGTATCACAGAACTGCTGTTTCCATGTTCAGCACTTAAACCATGGGTGGCTTTTATAAACACGCCTTCCAGTGGGTCATGGTCTTAATGCAGGGGTTGGCCCAGGAGCAAGGGCTGCATGGACAGAAACCTCGGTGACGCTCGCTAGTCCGCCCTCCTCGCTGCGGCAAGCTAATAACACTGTTCTCAGTCCTGAATTAGCATCTCGTGATAAACAGCTTTACTGGGGAGACTGCGTATTTAAAGACACAATGGCATTTCACATCCCGTGAGCGGAGACTGCAGGCTGTAAACAGAGTTGCGAGCTAGAAGCTTCTCAAGACTCCTCCTCCCCGACCTCCTTGATTTCAGAGATTCTGTCTATAGATTTAAGGATTTCAGCAACAAGGTTCAGTGTCTCGGCTCCGGAAACCAGCTGCCTACGAGGAAAACACTGGCATCACGAACTGCAACCGCACTGATCAACAGAACACGAGGGACCAGCAGACCGGAGACCAGCGCGGGTCCTCCAGGCCTCGGCTCTCCCCTGAAGAGGCCTCGCCGTGAGCACGTGGGCACCCCACCCACTACAGCACCCCTGCTGTGCACCCCGCTGCCCGCAGCGCAGCCAGTGGGAGGAGTGTGAGGACTGTTTGTGACCCCTGCTGTCTCCCAGGAGCTCACTGAGCAATCTGTGGGGGCAAGGGGGACACGGGATGGGGCGGGATTTGCCTTAACGCCCACGCCTCTCAAGTAGAAACAGCCATCACCACACAGAATGGTGGAGCCTGCTGGTGCGTACACTGACCTCCGGCCAACGGGCCCATCAAGCGCACCCCACCCTGAGCCCCGGGCCCCGCACTGTGCGCGTGCGCTCACCGTCTGAAATGGCACTGAGCCGCCACCCGCCTCCTGCCGCTCACCTGATGGAGGTGTGCGCGTTGCTCATGACCATGCGCAGGTTCTGCAGGGCCACGTCTGTGTTCTGCTTTACCACCGCCAGGCTGGCGCCCTGGCCCGAGCGCAGGGCCTCATTCTCCCTCTTGAAGTTGGAGACCTGCGCCTGGGGTGGGGGCGTGGCCGTGAAGGGGTTTTATGGTCAACAGGGAGCAGCCACGCGCTGTCCACCTAACGCCAAGAGGGCACCGTGGGAGAGGAGAGGGCCCGTTCCCACCACGGGCCACCCTACCGGGGCTCCCAACGGGCCCTCTGCTCCAGTCTGTCCTGGGCAGTAGCCCATGGGACTGAAATTCCACAAAACTGGACGCGGCCCAGGGTGGACGCGGCCCAGGGAGCGGGCCGAGGAAGGCTGAGCCGGGGCCTTGGTCTGCACGGAGCTTGCCCCCGCCCGCCCGTCGGGAGGAAGAGCCCATCAGAGGCTCTCTGGTGTCTTTTCTGGAGTCACTGAACCCACAGGGACATGGAGCTCGGGGCCTCGGGTTACCTGGAGCAAGCTTATGTCTTGTTTCAGCTTCATGACGTGACTTTCTGCCTTTACTGCACGTTTCTGTTACCAAAGAAACAACACAAAAGCATCACCGGCAGGTGAAATGCCCACGGTGCCCTCGCCCAGCGCTCTGGCCGCTCCCGCCGCAGGCAGGCCCACCTGTGCCTCAGCCCTGCCCCCGCTGGCTGCTGCGACCACCTGGGCAGCCTGGGTCCGCTAGTGACACACCCGCCGCCTCACAGCCCTGCCCACCCGTGCGTACGGTCATCAGCTCCAGGTTCTGCTCCACCTGCTGGACCACGGATTCCAGGTCGTGGTAGTCACTCTCCTCCTTGATCATTTTTGCTTCCAATTTCCGCTCCAGCGTCCTCACCCTGGCAAAGAACACCCCGTGTCACCGTGGCTCTGCGACCAATTCCGGGGCTGCTTCTAGAGGCACTTCGGCTGGTTGGCTCGGTAACAGCCACGAGTGCCCACTGTTGGGAACGAGCCTTGTCAGTGAGGCGCAGGCGAGGCGACACCCTCAGCGGGGTCTGAGTGAGCGCAGCCATGGGCCCTTAGGGGTCTGCCGCTCGGTTGGGACGCTTAAAATACACGGACACAGCAGGGAGACGTGTCTGTTGCCAAGGCCCGACACAGAACAGAACCCAGCCCCAGCCCTTGTACACGGCTCGCGGCTCCTGTCAACCGCCTGGCGGGCCCTAACTCAAGGCTTACATCTCGGTTTGCGTCTCAGAGAAGCTCTGCACCTCCGTTAGCTTCCTCCTGAGCTTCGAGTTCTCGTCTTTCAGCTGCAGAGAGAGGAAGTCCTGGTTAGGAACTCAGCGGGTCTCCCGCAAAAGGGGTCTGTGTGCTGCGGTGTGGCCTGGAACTGCCCGGCCAGCAGAAGTGCCCTGGAGTCCACCCCGGACCTTGCAGAGCACGGGTATCACGTGGGGCCGGGCCAGACTCCAGCGTGCTCATGTGACGCGTTTGCAGGCTGCTTTAGACTAAGACTTTCCTCTACTCGGAACACTGGGCAAGACGCTGAAGCCGACCCCTGTGGGCAGCCCCAAAGGTCCCCACTCTGCTTGGTCCCTTCCTGCACAGCCGCACCCGACTGCCCTGCACAGCCGCTGTTCCCGCGGCACCGGCAGCCGGGAGCGCGCCCCGTGGAGACGAGGGAGCAGGCTGCTGTGCAGACGGTCCTGTCCTGGAGCCAAACCCGGGCCCGAGGACGCCAGAGGCTCAGGAGTTCTCCAAGAACACCGCTCTGACACAGCGGTTCCCCGTGCCGGCGCCGCCCCTCACTTACTGCTTCGTAGCTGATCTGCAGCGTCCGAAGGTGCCTGTCCCCCAGACACTCTCCGTGGGCAGCGAAGTCTGCACTGGGACTCGCCACGGGAGAGACTCGGGAGTCGGAGTCGCTCAGTGTCCACGGAGGCAGGGACTCGGGCCCTGCCAGCTCCGAGGGGCTGAAGAAGGAGATGTACGTGCTGCAGGGCGACGCGCTAGCCGAGACCCTCGAGTGCGTCTGCTCCACGGCGGACGGCAAGTAGGCGCCGTTCCACCCGTCCTCATCCTCGTCCTCGTCCAGAAGGTCGCCAGCCCCCGTTGGGTCTTCGAAAAACGGCTGCTGGAAGTCCAGG